AGTTTGGAGGTCGAGAGGTTCCTGACTTGGTTAGTTGTCTTAGAAGTCTTGAGCAACTGGTTTAGGAACATCAAAGGACAGCTCGTTTAAAGTACTTTTGTTCATACCTCTGATAGTGTAGAAATCAGTTTTGGTTTCTATGGCCAGGGATACTCGATTGAATAAATGAGTAAAGATAGTAGCCAGATTATAGATTTTGCCCTGAAAAGGGAAGGACTGTGTCTTCTGTGTATTCTTGTAACACAGTGTCCATGCAACGTATGCTTGATTGTCCTATTATATCAACTATCAGAGGCTTGAAGATACCTTGATGTTGCTCAGTAAAATATGTGCTTGGGATATAAATGTTCTTACATCCAACTCATGGCTCCTATCTTTTAAAAAATTTAATGATTTTTTTATTTTTGGAGACATATTAAGAGCAATGAGCAGGGAGGGCAGAGAGAGACGGAGACATTGTCCAACTAAATAGGCTCCAGGCTCTGAGCTGTCAGCACAGAGCCCGATGCAAGGCTCAAACTCATGGACTGTGAGATCATGACCTGAGCCAAGTCGGACACTTAACTGACTGAGCCACCCAGGTGCTCCCCTGCTTTTGGTTCTATCTTAAAGAAGGATCACATCTGAGCAAAGCCACTAACCTTACTACAACATTGCTACAGTCTGACCTAAATCTATCTTTTTTCTCTTTTATACTAATATTTGTTGAGCAAATATGTGCTAGAGAAACAGTACGAACAAAATAAAGCCTCTGTTTCATGGCTTCTTATTGGAGCAAAAGGAAACAAAATTAAAGCCAAATAAAATACAATGCAAATATATAGAATACTCAACAGTGATATGTGCCTTAGAGAAAAAAACAGGTTCAAGGGGAAGAGGGTGATGCTATATTGTATAGGGGTGTTCAAAATGGCTCCATTTCATAGTAATATTTGAGCAGAAGATGGATGCAAGGGGTGTATGGTAACAGGAGAAGCATCCTTGGTCTATTTGAGGATAACAAGGGGGCCAGTGGCTGAAGAAGAATGAATTGGAAGAGAGTAGTAGAGATAAGATTATAAGAATACGAGGAAAGGGAGAGACTGTGTGTCTCAAGCTGGCTGGAACATCCAACCCCCAGCTCAGGCCGCGATCTCAGAGTTCATGAGCTGAGTTTTGATGAGCTCCCTGCATCAGGCTTGCTGCTGTCAGCACTGAGCCCACTTCAGATCTGTCCTCTTCTCTCTCTACCCTTCCCCACTCACTCTCAAAAATAAATAAACATTAAAAAAAAATAATAATAAGAGAGGTGCGCCTGATGGCCTAAATGGTTAAGCATCGGACTTTACATTTCAGCTCAGGTCATGATCTCATGATTCATGGGTTCAGAGTTTCCTGTCAGGCTCCATGCTGATAGCTGTGGAGCCTGCTTGGGATTCTCTGTCTCCCTCTTTTTCTGCCCTTGCTCACTCCTCATTCTCTTCTTCTTCTTCTCAAAATAAATAAATATCTATAAATAAATAAATAAATAAATAAATAACAAATAAATAGCAAAAAAAAAAAAAGAGGGGACGGAGAGGGTCAGATCATGAAAGACCTTGGGTGCCACTGTTATGCAGGCTTTTATACTGAGTGACATGGGAAGCCATTGCAGAATCTGAGTGTAGAGGGGTCACTGGACCTGATTAAATGACTAGGCTTGTGTGTTGAGATTCAATTTTAAGAAATGGGGGGAAAAGCAGAAGATTAGATAAGAGCCTATCTATAGTAATAATCTAGGCAAGGGATGATTATAGATCATCTAGTGTGATAGTTCTGAAAGAGGGGCAATAAGGTTGATTCTGGATATAGTTTAAGGTAGAGATGACTGGGTTTGTTATGGAACGGATATAGAATGTGAGAAAAAGATAGGATAAAGATATCCAAAGATAACACCAGAGCCTTTGACCTGAACAGCTAGA